GCATAAACATAGTATAATGCAGTATGGTGTTGGTACTAGATAGCCTCTCAATAAGCTGGTTTGTTGAGATATCCCACCAAATCGGTGTCACTAGTGGCCCATGAAGCACTGTAGTCACACTGGTACAGTACAGCCCTGGTCAGCTGCCTGTCTTGGCCACTGGCAGCAGAACTTCATCAGTGATTGCTCTGCACTCACTTCAGTGCTTCCAGGACTTCACTTTGTGTTACTGTGCTGTGCCACAGCAACAAAACAGCTTGTGCAAAGCTAATGCCTGTGTCTCTGCTTTCCTGTACCTACATGTTTTGATATGATTTGTGCTGTGTGCCCCTGGTTTCTATTGCTTCTATACCCATTTTTAGAAGAGCAAATATTCTGGCATGCTGAACACCCCAGCATAACTTCTGGGCCAAACTGTGAATTACAGATACTCTTGTGGAGGAGAGAAAGATAGGGTATTGCTAAAGCTTTGGATGTACAATATCCATTTATTTGTCCTTTAGAGAATGTTGGTTGGTTATGCTTTTTTGGGTATTTTTTGTTTACTTTATTGTTTTTTGAGGGATCGGGACTTTTATTAGGTCTAGGAAAACACTGTTAGAAACTTTCATATATAAAATAATGGTCTTGTTAGAAACTTTTCCTTATAATGATGTTGTTGGCTTTATAATGCAGTTGTAGCCTTGAGTCACTAATGTGTTTTGCAAATGTATGTAATGAATTATCCAGCAGCTTTCAAAAACAAAACAAAACAAAACAACAAAAATGGGGAAAATGAAATCAGAAAATACATGCTAATAAGCAAAAACATGTTTCAAGATGAAAATATGTACTTAACTGAAAATAAAACAGTGCCTGAGTTGGCTTGCAAGGGTGTAACCGTCATAAGGGATTGATTTGTTTTTCTTATCCTTCAGTGTTGTGACAATGATTTATTTTGCCATCATTTTTCCTTCTTTATGACTGTCTCAGAGCCCTTAGTATGCTCTTAAGGAAAAAATGATGCAGTTGAATGGCAGGCTTATTTAGATCAGGAAATAGTGCATTAGGATTTCCTCAAAAAATATCTTTGTATGTATGAATAGATGTACATAAGTGTATGATCAACATTTCTGTTCTTTTTTTGTTTGTTTGTTTCTATAATCTAAAGTGTATTAATATGTATTTATGGAGAATATTAAGTTATTAAGACATATATTAACATTATGGCTGTGTTTTTTAGCTCCAATGAGAAAACCATCATTCCTTTCATAATGATCCTATATTTAACTGGTTTTCATGGACTTGGCAATAATTTTAATATGGTTTTCTTTGCTAGAAGACTTACAGTATCCCTTACTTATAGAAAACCATCTGAGTCTACAGAAAGTCCCCCTCCTAATTTTCTGTAGCTAAATTCTATCTTCATCTGTTGGAACAGTGGGCAGATGAGCCAGCTCTGTTGTTTTATTTTCATCTGCTTTATAATTTATACCATCAGACTGCTGCACTCTCAGATCTGACCCCAGGGACATCAGCTGCAAGATCTTCACATCATTGGCAACATCCTCTATGTCTCTAGGACTACCCTAATGCTACAAATCACAGAATCACAGAACAGTAGGGGTTGGAAGGGACCTCTGGACACCATCTAGTCCAACTCCCCTGCTAAAGCAGGTTCCCAACAGTATGTTGTATTGAAATCACATATCTGTGCCTATTGTCTGTGTAAGAATCAGCTGTACTTCAGCTTTGCTCCAATCTAGATAACAAAATCATCTTTTCCCAAGGAATGAAGAAGTCACAGTCTTTCCCTATGCCTGGGACACGAGAGGGCAGCTGGAATGCTGGAGTCAGCTTTTCATTCCATGAGAGTGAATAGCACCAGACCTCCAGAGATTTCTTAGCTGACCTTCAAAACAAGAAGTCTAGCTTCCAGCAAACTTAAAGTAAACATATTTCTCTAGAGATTAGGATCAAAGCGCAAGAAAAACATTTTTCTTAACTACGTGGTGCTTGTAACATTATTTATTTATTGGAGCAAGGGTAAGAGGAGCTGGGGGAGATGAGATTTTTTTTTTTTGTTGCATTGTCCAAGGGTAGAAATAGCGAACAGAGATGACCCAGACCTTTGCCAAAAGATTTGCAAAAATAATCATTCTTTCTCATACCATCTCTGCTTCATTCCCAAACATGGTCCTATTTCATCATGGTCAAACTCTGAAGAATTTTTCTGAAGAAATTTTTTCTGGACTTGAGTGCTTTACCAGAGGAGCAGCTTAATCATACCCCAGTTCTTGGTTCTGGTCTTGGGGCTACTCTTTTAACATTCTCTGGTAACCACTGTGATACATAAAACAACATTACTAGGACTTTGTTCCCATATCAGTATAGGCTTTATGGAGGATAGCTACATTACAGATTCAGAAATGCTTAGGTATTAAAAAAGCACATCTTGTATAAGCACATAATCTATGCTTCCTGGAATAGATTGGCCTGGGGAAAAAAAAATGAAGAGAATAACTTTTTGAACAAAATTGTTCAGTTTGCATTCTTTTCAATAATGTGAAATCCTATTGCCATTCATCAGAATGAAAAACCAGAGATGTATCTGTAAATATATGAAATTATTTGTTGGTAAGCTTTGTGGGGGAAAAAAAAAGAAGGACTGTAAGTAACAGGTAAGTTCTTCATACATGCTCTGTTAGGATTTTGCTGTTATCACTTTTGGACTGAGATGGAACTCAGTTAGGAAGCTGAGGTACTGATTCAGCAGAGAGGAAAGTGGAAAGGTAGCGCAGTGAAGGTAATCCTCAGGGACAGTTCATAACATTAATTCCCATAAAAAAAAGGAATGAAAGTTATTCTGAAATCCAGTTTCAAGCCTGTCCTACAACTTTCAACACAGAGTCCAGTTAGCCACAGGCATTTCTTCTTTACTGCCTCTGTAAACACCAATTTAGAAGAATTCTCCAATATAGAAATGAGCAAAACTTAACCATGATCCTAGTGACAACTAAGTGATCATGCACTGAATTACTATAGTGTGCCTGGTTTTAATAGTTGAGCTGATACATGTTGCTTTCTCTTATAAGTTAGTTAATTCTTTGCACTCAAAGCTCTATTTGATCTTAAGGAAATGGGAGTCCATATCCAAGTTCTCTTATACTATTATCCCAAGGATATCACAGAAAATATATCTGTAATATTTTTAAGCAAGCACATATCTAAGCAAGCGCTGATTTGAGCTGCAGATAATTTGACTTTCTTACTATACCATGTCTAGGTTAGCTCTAAGATTTAGGGCAGTCAAAAAAAAAAAACAATAAATCAATTCAGCTGCAAAGATTTTGAGCTTACAGGAACAACAAGTTTTCCATAGCTTGTTCCAAATGAACAAGTCATTACTTTTGCATTATAGCTTCTCTCCCTGCCACTTTTTCATAGTTTTACTGCAGCCCCTTCAGAAATAGGTTAATAAATTCCTTGACTTGTGCTTTAATACCAGTAGAGACATCCAGTAACTGAACGTCTCATAGTTCAAATTATCATCTAAGCAGAAATGTAGAAGTTAAATGCTTTTTTAAAGCTGAACCACGGGTATAAAACGTCCAGTGAATGTATAAAACCAAGAAAGAGCAACTTACCCTAAATGGACTAGATGTAAGCTCTGTGGTGCTAAGTGCTCCTGTTTTTAGTTAATATGCTTCTCTTCCTTTGCAGCTGGTTAAGATAAACTTGCACCATTAGTCAGTGTGCAAAGACTTCTGCCGCCCAAAATCACTGATATGTCAGTATTTTAGGAAACCTTCCCCAGTTCTCACATCCTTGAAAATTTATGATTGCTGGCACTGAGTGCAGTGGCACTTGCTGATGAGTTTAATGAAGATTGCAATCCAATGAGTCCAGCAGATGTTTCTGGGTTTGCTTCACTGGGAACTTTCTGGTTTCTTCTTCCTTCATTCCCAGGAATGTAGACCCAATTTTAGCAAAGTGCTGATGATCCAACCAGCAACAAAATAACTGAAGTCTTCATCTCTGCAATCCTCAAAACAGTCAACACTGCAGATCTATAAGCTGCTGAAGTTAGGATGCTTATCCAAGCTTCTTTAGCTTGGAAAAATGAAAGATGAGAAACTCATACAATTGGCTCTCAGTAGATTTGTGATATTTCCTTCACTTATCTGGCACAGAAATCTCACAGTATTTTGTCTTTTCCAACTGTGAACCTGGCAATACATAAACATGTAAGAAAAAGTAATCTTTTCCAATAAAAACAAGAGGAATTCTCTTGAAATTACGATTTTGTTTGGATTTTAGTTTGTTTATTTATCTTTATATTTTGCTCTTGGATACCTGGGGGTGTTTTCATTGCTCTACATACATTGCTACAAAATATTAACAGGACAGCTGGATCATGCAAAAAAAAAAAAAAAAAAAAAAAGAAAGGTTGTACAGCTTGGAGTTCATTGTCTTCTTTCTGCTTGCTTATGTAGAGATGTAGAGATGTGGCTGTTTTGAAAATAAAGGGGTGAACAGAATGACAAAAAAGGCAAAGAAGATCCCAGAAAATGCCACAATGTGCTTGCCTCTTGCCTCTTCTTTATGGCCTTTTAACCCCACAGTTGGATTAATTTTTGAACTCTCATTTATCCTTCCATCCCTAATTTCGGGATACACCATACCTCACAGTCCAGTACTTAGTGCTTATGATGGCATATACAGAACAACTGTGAAGGCATCTTCTTTTTCAGGTACCTGTCTTGTCAATGTAAATAACATTCAAGTAAGCCAAAGCAACTTTCTTGCTTTGCATTATTTAGGTAACACAATACATAGTACAAATCATTAAAGACTATTGTTTTATTATGGAACAACTCAGCACTAGAAATCCAGAGCAAAGAACTAAAAAACAGCCATCCTAACTTTCATAGGTAATGAACAGTTGCTTATTATCTGGACAAAAAAAACTGTCATCCATTCAATTACATGGTTTTTCCATCTTTCCAAACCACGTGGAGAACTCCAGAATGACCAGCAATCACTCAGACTGCCATTACTGCCTGCAGTCTCTCCGTGGAAGGAAGTATGCATTAAAGGAAGAAAATGCTTATTGTGTTAGATGCTATGACAGCCTATTTGCCAACCCCTGTGAGGAGTGCAAGCAACCTATTGAATGCGATTCCAAGGTAAGGATTTAACTTTCTTGTTCTTTGTTAAGTTATATGTCAACCCCATTTCTTTAATGACTGATCCTATATCGGACCTTCTGTGTACTCCTGAGCTGGTGAAGGAACCTGAGCATAGTGATTGTGCACCTGTGTACAGCAGAACTATTTTTCCAAAATTAGGAAATCCAGATGAGAAAATCTGCTTGTACATGCACCTCAAGTATCTTCTATGTGGTATGTGCATGGACCACATCTGGATTCCATCCCTCACCTCTGCTAGTTATCAGCAGCAGAAGCTGACCAGTGCTTGAGGGACTTTTGGGGTGTTGATATAGTTCAGTGGATTAGGTTGAGGGAATTTTTGGAATTTCTGAGAGATAGCCATTGGAAAAATTGTCTTCAGCTATTCTGCAAATTACTTTGACTGCAAATGCTGACATCAAGATGTAAAGAAACAACATTTATAATTCATATTTTTTGTACTACTTTTGGAAATGAGGTATATTTTCATTTTAACTTAATTTCATGCTCACCCTGTTTGTCTCTCAGATGAAATATGAATGGCAGTGTTTCTCAGCTTGGCTTTCCATTTACTTCTACTCTTTTTGAGAATAAGTATTAATAACATGAATTCCTCTGTGATCTTTGACAGGGTTTCCAGCACCCTTTAGCTCAATTTACAGCCCTTTACACTTACAATTTTAAAAGAAGATGAAACCTCTTGTTTTTCTGAGTTCAGTTTGTACTGCTCACCTTCTCCCCATGCTCATTTTGCTTATGTTCTTTTGAAATAAAAGAACCTATGGAATCCCACCACTAGACCATGTCCCTTAGTGCCACAATGAATGCTAGATCATAAAGTTATTAAAGTAAATCTCTCAGGAGATCTCCCCAGCCAATATAATTTTGGTTTTCAAAGTACACTGTCTGAGTACAGCTCAGTTCCATGAAGGCGTAGTCAAAGAAAAACATTGATATGGATTATGACTGTTCTCAAATGCTTGTCAGTGTTTTTCAGTTGCAAACTTGTATGCTCCAGTCACTATCAGCTGGAGAACACGTACCCTGAACTCACTAACACTACTTTTACAATTTAAACTTTCGTAAGTGGCAGGACTGGCAATATAAAAGGTCACCAAATTAAATCTTGTCTTCAGACAGAGTGGAAGGAAAAATAGTGAGAAAAAAGCAGGGGTAATAAGACAGGAGTGTCACAGCTAAAGAAGTGACCCACAGAGGTCTACAGCAGGTTGTCCAACTTCTGCGAAGCTGCTAGAGCTTGGCTCTCTTCCTCTCCCTCTTATCCATTTCTTGCCTCTTGTGTGAGAGACCATTTTCTAAAAGGTTCACAGTGCTAACTAAAGGAAATGAAAGTTCTCAACACTCAGCAATGCCCAAATGAACCCTGGTATGTATTTCATTTCTCGTGTTAGCATTTTAAGGGGTGGGGAACTGACAAAGTAGAAAAATGAGATTGGCTTTGTGCCTTTTTGTGCTTCTTACTTATAAAGAAGACCTGGAAAGGCCTGTTTAATTTTTTAAGAATTTTTATGTTTCTTGTGATACATTTTCCCCTTGTATTTTCTAACCTTGGAAAAAAAAATAATTGATGCTTTCTTTTTTGTTGTTGTTTAATTAGTAGTGGAGGCCTCATACTTATACTGCTAGCTGTTTCATCTCTTAAGCCTGCTGAGTCTTAAACAAATATATTTCTGCCAGTTCTTTTAGAGGGAGTTATATTAGGTGTAAACAAAAGCAATGATTTTTTAATACGTGTCCTAAGAACAATTTTGTTCTCAATTAATGAGATTTTAATTGCTTGTTCTCTGCAATAATATGATCTTTCTTTAGTGTTATGTAGAGTCAGCTGGAAGGAAAAGTAGTAATGTTAAAAAATACATGAAGTTCTACTTAAAAGTCTGTAGAGAATATGCTTCTTGTCAGGAGGTCTCTGCACATTTAAAATGTTAATTACCTGCTTCTCCTTGAAGGCCAACAGTAAAAATATATGCTGGGTCTTCCAATATAAACATCGCTCTGATGTTGCATGCTGAGGGACAATTGCCTCAATTGCCTGTGCCAAAGCAACTCCTAATGGCCTAGCAAGGGAGTTGCAAAATACCCTGACACAGTGACTTTGAGCACTAATGCTGCCTTTGAGCACACCTGCTGGATGCAACTCTTGAAGTTGCCATTGCAGTGCTCTGCATTTTTCTCTTCAGTTCTGGGAGGAGATGAGGGAAAAGAACACTGTAAAGAAATGCCTTTATTAACATGCACTTACTTTCTCCAAGGATCTGGCTTACAAAGGCCGCCACTGGCATGAGAGGTGCTTCAAGTGCACAAAATGCAGCCGCTCTCTGGTAGAGAAACCATTTGCTGCCAAGGATGAGCTCTTGCTCTGTACTGAATGCTACTCCAATGAGTATTCATCAAAGTGTTTCCACTGCCAGAAGACCATTATGCCTGGTAAGACAACAGGGATCCTCCTGCGGGATATGAAACTGCATTTTCAATTAAAATCACATCCTCAAATAGCCTAGCTACAACTGTGCAGTTTGCAGGACTGCCACTCCCTCCTGCAGCACCCTGCTGGCAGCAAAGACAGGCAAGGCAGGCCCTCTGGTCTAGCATTGGCAGGACTTATGAATCTTTATAAAGAATATTAGAGTTCAAAATAGAATAAAATGTGCTCATGCTGTTCCCTTGATTCTGCCTGCAGTTCTTAGGAAGTGCATCCCACTGTGAGTATAGGTGGACAAACAGCTATCATCAGCAGGTGTGTGAGCTAGACAAGAGATTTTCATTTTGTCTGTCACGTTGGCAAGGCCTTGAGAACCAGAACTAGCTCACATTCTTTATAAACCATTTCTTTTACACAGAAATACTTTTTACTTCAGTTGTCAAAACACTAAGTTCTTTGTTTTCAAATAATTATCAGTATTTTTACTACAAAACACATACAGATTTGTTTACAGCAGGTTTGGCACCATAAGTGCCAAAAAGCAATCGCTTGCCAAGGAGAGTGAGTCCCAAACTATTGGAGCAGTGGACTAACCTAAATCCTTAAGCCTTTTTACAGATGATTCATATAGCTCCAAATACCAGCAGCAAACTGTGTGCTGTGGTCCTACGATTACTAGTTTGGGCCATGAAGAATTATTGTCTTTATATAAATACTAGATTACTGATATCCTGGTTCAGCCTGTAGCATTGATACAACTATGTACTTTCACACTTGTATTTATTTTCTTCTTCATCACAGGTAAAACTTACATTAGTGGAAATAAATGTTGTAGTAATACAGTTGTGTTCAGTGTAGGGGTGACATATTGCTTAAATGTGGTATATTGTTAGAAGAATGTTGTCTAATAGAGACACACCTTGTTAGATGTGACTGGAATAACTCAGAGTATAGAGGGTTTTTTTGTTTGTTTGTTTTTGCATTATTGTCCTCTGGTATATATCCTCCTTGCAGGTTTTGTTTCAGAGTCTAGGAGACTAAATCCTCTCAGCAAGTGTTCAGTACAAGAATCAGAGGGCAAACAGAGAGCTGAAGAGATGCTAACCAGTTTCTTCTTCTTTAGCCACTGACTCTTTAGCTTGCTAGGTCTGTGTTGAAAATACTCTGTAGGCAAAGACAGTACATTTAGCCTTCAGATTGCTAGGAGGCAGCTGCAAACTCTTTATGCTGGAATTCAAACAGTAGGTTCTCTTTACTTTAAACCTACATCTAGGAAACAAGTTATCTAGGAATAATCATTTATAGCAGTAATTCTTTTCTTCCTGTGGAAAGGATGGTAAATCACCTGGCATCCCTCTGCGCAGGCTGATGCCACTGGCAGGGGAGGAAGCTGCAGTGGAGAATCACTTAAGTATCATTCTCAGACATATGTGTGTATCTTAAGCTTAACAAATATGTGTTAAGGAGTAGACTGCACCTGTACACAATTTAACAGCTTCTCTAGTAGATATTTAACTGAGAGACTTTCTTTTGGGATTGCATCTGTCCTTGCACTAAATCAGAGCAACTGGCTGAATATGATTAAAAAAAAAGAGCCACTGAACTAGAATGAAAATGATGAGTTTTAAGAAGAGACATGGTAGATTATAGAGATACTTTAAAAACTGCAGTTCAGGCTGGATAAGATAAATAGTGCAATTATAAGTGAAAGAAACTTAGTTTAAAGAAGATAAAATACATTAATATTTTTACTAAACATTCAAGCAAATTCACATTTAATTTACAGAAGTGCTATGTACCTAAACATCACATCATCACTGAATGGTCTGAGAGAAACTTTGAGCAACTGAAGCATATAACAGGGCAATAACTCTAAAAGAGTCAAATAAATAGAGAATAAAAATCACATTTTAGGCACCCAGCATGTCCTTTGCCTCATGATCATAGAGTACTGAATGCGTTCTTGAGATTAGCTACATACTTAAAAACATGGAGGATAATAAAATACTAAGAAAGAAAATGAAAAATGAGACATTTAAAGCCTTTGTGGCAAGACTGTACCTGGGAGCATTATTTGTGTTGATTTTTGCAGGTTCCCGTAAAATGGAATTTAAGGGCAGTTCCTGGCATGAATCCTGTTTTGTTTGTCAGTATTGCCAGCAACCACTGGGAACAAAACCACTGATCACCAAAGACAATGAGAATTACTGCGTACCCTGTTTTGAGAAACAATTTGCTCATCATTGCTACTCTTGCAAAAAGGTAACTACAATAGAAAAATGAAAGCATTGCAGTGTGCTACCACGTTGTTTTCGGTCAAGACCAGGTTGTCCAACAGCAGTAGTACGCCAACAAAGACTCTTTCCACAATCTATAACGTGCAGGTTTAAAATAACCTCTGCAAATTCATAGTTCTATTCTCATCTGGAGGTCTGAAATCTGGATCAGCATCACACGATGGGTAAAAAAGAAAATATCATCAGAGCATGTAAATTCTTAGATTAGCTCTCTTCAAATATTCTGTAAAAGGGCTGAAGATAAGAAAGAAAAAGGGGGTGGGGAGTTATCTGTTGGAGTTCTTGAAGACAAGTCACAGCTAACTGAAAGTTCAGACTTCATGCTTAACAAGCTTTAACAGAGTAAGAACATAGCTTTTTACCCGTTTACTTACAATTTTGTCAACATTGCACATTTTTAGTGCTTTACACTAAACAAAACAGAAAAAGCAGGGAAAATGATCTTGAAATCAACAGAACCTCTTATCAACTACAACTATTCGTAATTGCTTTTAGCTCCTTTTCAGGAGCACCTGGGGGCTATATTGTCTGTGTAATGGGTATTCATACCACTTGTTTTAAAGTATTTAACGTTGATGCTCCGATTAGAAGCCTGTAGTCTTTTTCATCAGTAGAGCTCTCAAGGCATTTAGGAGAGCACTTGGGAGAACATAATGAACTTAAGCTCCCCTGTCTGATTCCTGAGTTGTATGGATGAAGTTTGAAAGCTTTAATAATTTCTTTTCTGTTTCAGTTCTTTAACCAGTTAACTTTCCTTGTTTAACTTTCCTTGTTTGTGGAAATGTTGGATTTAAGTTATGGGGATAAATACATCAGAAATTGTGGTGTGTCTAAGTAGCTCTATAAGACAGGTCCTGGCAATAGTTTAGGTAATCAACAGAAAAGAGATGTGCATTAGTAGCAAAAATGATGTATCTGTAGTTAGTGACTTTTTGGTTCTGTGCTACCATATTTCTAGGCAGTGGCTACCTCTGTAGAAGCCATTAACTCTTTTCCTGAGAGCAAATTTATATCAAGATTCATAAATATTGGTATATTAATACTGGAGAAACAGAATACGGCAAGGGTGTCACACCATCTGACTTCAGATCTCAAAGAAAGATACCTATGCTCCTTAGTGAAGCAATATTGCTCATGGAGGATGGAGCAGCATTATGCAAAATGTTTGGTGAACTGATAGGACAAGTCGAGTCCTCCTTCTGGCATTGATATTGACTAGTGAAAGCTGGCTGTGACAGTGTTTGCTGTCCTCTACTATATAACTATATATATATTCTATATAATAATAAACAGGTTGATATAAACTTGTTTAGATTTGCAATAAATTTATTCACAAAAGCAAATCCATTGGGGTTATTTTATTAATGGTTGTGATTTTTAACAAAGGTTGACATTTTTCAGAAAGTTGTATAACACCTTTCTTACCTGATAACGTCTGATCTTGCCTTAATAAACATGCCTCTCTTTATATTTGTCAGATCAGATATATTTGCATGCATAATCAGCCACCTAAGCCGAGGAAAGCATTCAGTCTTACCTCTTTGCCTCTTGAAATGTATCAAGCAATAATCAGTTTAAGTACTGTTTAGCTATGGTAATACAAGTCAAGTTTCCCAATATTTTAGAATGCAAAGTTTCTCCTTTGGGTACCAGAATGCTTAATTTTAAATGAGTTTATCTTTCTTCTTCCAAATACAAATATATCAATTCATCTCTCCTTCAATTTCTTGTGTTTTAAAATTATCTCAAATTGATGAAAACACCCACTAATCTGATTCTGTTCTCTAGGAAATTGATTTAAGCTGCTTTTTATGACAGAATTTTGTTTATTCTTTAGTATCTATGGTCAAAAAAAGAAAAAAATAAAAGATTTCTCTTCATCAAATTACTTATTTCCAAATTTTTATAATATTGAGCTGTAAATCTCTTCCTCTAACAAAAGTTTTTAATTTAAGCAAAACTTGCTGCCTCTTGTTTGTTTGTTTATTGTTTGCTTTTTATTGTTTGTTGTTTTTTTTTTCCCCCCTTTGGTAGCTAAACTTTAGAAAGTGTGTCTAAATATTCCTATGCTACTATATTTAGGCATTAATTTGCATTAAATGATCACATGACAAATATAGTAACTCTTTTCCAAGTTTATTAGAGAGATAGAGGTTAGCAACATTTGTATGAAAAAAATCAGGATTTGCTTCTTAAAAAATCTAGAAATGCAAACAGACTACATGCATGCTGGCTAAAATAACTTTACTGTATGAAATTGAGTCTGTCCCATAAATAAGAACTGAGATCAAAGAGATTGAATTGCTGAACTGAAATCCTGAATTTTGTGCCAGAAAAAGACGATATGAGATTTTGAGATTTTAATGGAAAGGCAAGTATGTGTTAGAAGTAGCCCAATACTAGAATACTAACATCTTGACCATTTACATTTCTTATTGTCTGACATCACCCAGTATTATTCTTCGTGTTCTTGAAATTGTGCTTTTCCAGAGAAATTTTGTGGTGCCTTTATTTTTATTTCATTGTTTACAACTCCTTCTACCTCTTGTTCCAACTACACTCATTCATTCACTCTCATGCATGTGTCTTGGCAGTAGAAATACCACCTTACATCTCATTTTATTTCTAGAAAAATTCCTTTATACAATCTCTGACAACTTCAGTGAAACCTATAAGTGCTCACACTTATAAAAGCCACAGAGCAGCTGAAAATTTCCCCCTTCAGATATAACCAATAGAGAGCTTTGAGTGAGTTGCAGGGAATTATAAACTTGATGATGCTGACATATGCCAGTCTTTTTTCTTCTGACAGTGTAGAGCTCCTTTTAGCCTCATTTCCGCTTCTTTACTGCCTCTTTCCTCCTACATAAAATACTGCTTGAGTTTCAAGACAGCAAAATGTCAATTCCAGTTGGAGGTTAACCCTCATCTCAACATCAGTTTTATCAGCTACTCTCCATCACTGAGAATTGTATGAGTATGAAGAGTATGCCTGATGCTCAGCCTTTACCCAGAGTTTTGTAACAGGGCAACCTGTTATATTATAAACTATAAGGTGTGTACACTGGTATGTTCAGATCAGCTGCAGTGAGTCATATTGAGATGACCACACTGTCTCTCTTATGCATATTGTAAGAGAAAAAACAAGTGGAAAGACTTATGAAATACTCGATAATCCTTCATGATCCTTTGTTTCATTACTTTGCTAGGTAATAACTTCTGGGGGAGTGGCCTATCACGACCAGCCTTGGCATAAAGAGTGTTTTGTGTGTGCTGGATGTAAAACTCAGCTGTCTGGGCAAAGATTTGTTTCCAAAGATGAGTATCCATACTGTGTAGACTGTTTCAGCAAGTTTTATGCTAAGAAGTGTGCTGCTTGCAAGAAACCTATTACAGGTGAGTGTTATCTTTTAGAAAGGTCTAGATACTGTGGAGTCGTAGTTTGCTCTGAAATCAGATGTTTAGTTTAAAGAACAGCATTAAAAAATAGTCCTGTCATAATTACAGACTGAGGGAGTTAGGTACTACAGAGGCCTCACCCCATACAATGTAGTGTCTTATTCAGAAATACTGATTATATGTTCCCTGACTATTGAGTTCTTTTATGTGCCAAACATTCTTCAATTTACCATTTTCTGCACTCAAAATCATCCCCAATAATGCATTCTTTTGATTTCAGAAAAGACTCCTCCTGAGACAATACATACACACAATTCCCTTATGGCTGTAATTGGGTTAGCTTTGTTTTTAAATATAAATGTGATAAAACTGAACGTGAATTAACTGCCTGCTGATCAGGCACAGCTGTTATGTTGGAGAGCTTGCCAAGCAACAAAGATTTATTGCATGCATCCCTGTGTCCCTAGATGATTTGTAATTAGACATACGGGTCAGTAGTCCATGGTAGCTGAAATTATCTGAGACCATTGTCTGCTGTTCTGTATTATGTTTCTATTATGTGTGAAGTCAACTCTTAAAAAGCACTGCCTGACTGATACAGGTGCATGCTGCATATGCAAATGGCAAATGCATAAAGAAAATCATTGTTATCCAATCAAATGGGCATGATTTTGCTCTCCTCCCCCTGGAAAAAAAAATACACAAACAAAAAACAACAGATAACAGCACAATTGTTTTATTTCAAATACTCATTAGACGAATTTAGTGATCTGATAATTTCTTAAAGACATTAAGATACTTGGTGGAAAAGGCTAAATTTCAGTGTCATATAGGAATGTGTATATCTTTGCATTGCAGATAATTTTCATGAGAGTTTTTGGGAAGGTTTGTAAACCTGAAGGCACATTCTGGTAAACTCATTCTGTTCAGAATACATAACAGGGTTTGAAACCAAGCAAGCAACATATAGCTTAACATAAATTAATTGTCATTATCTTTTATGTTTTGTATCACTACCTTGCAGTGTTTTGGCTGGTTCCTTTTTTTTTTCCAGGTCAGCTAACAAACAGCACTTCAGACTATGGATTTTTGTTCATTTGTATGAACAACAACATGATCACATTTCAGGAAACAGTTATGTTTCTGAACTATGTCCAGAAATGCTGAATTTACTTCCTCTCATAATCTTTTTCAGCTCTTGGAGGTGCCAAATTTGTCTCATTTGAAGAGCGTCAGTGGCATGAAGAATGCTTTATCTGTGCAAGATGCTCAGTCTCACTGGTGGGCCAAGGATTCCTCACCAAGCAGGATGTGGTCCTTTGCCATGAATGTGGTTCTTTGTAGTTCTGTGGAGAGCTATAAAGATGCATTATTCTCACTGTATAACCATTTAGTTTGTTACTCTGCAGTAAGAAAATAATCTAAAAGGTGTATCGCTTACTTAGTTATTCAAGTGACTTTCCAACAGCAGTTTAATTCCATCACAGTTCCAAACTGCTTGTTATAAAAATAAATAGATAATCAGCCACATACTGCCTCAGAAAACAGTGCAGAAAAGATTAGTATATATTTTAAATTTAACTGCAGTATGTTTCTCTTTGTAACACACTGCACTCTGCTGTTAGAAACTTTACCTTTCATTTCCCATGAACCAAGGAGATGTATAGAAAGTCTGTGTGACATATGTCTAGTTATGAGACATTAGCATTGCAAGTGAGGAGAAGGTACATGTACACAAAGAGACACCAAGTCAGGGAAATCCATTCCAGGGCCAGAGAAAGGAATAAAAGGTCTTCTTCCTCTCTTTATTGATATTGTTGAGAGTGCTCATCAGAAAAATAGAATTTCCAATAACTTTATTCATCCAAAAAACTGAACGATAGGTCCTTTCCCACAAGTGGTTAATTGCATTTTATTTTTCAGGCATAAATGTTTTAGAACACAAACAAACCCTTTTATTCTTATTTTTAATCTACTGTAAGAGGTACCAATTGCCTAAGGTTGGATAGTGGTAATGTATAGTTTCCAATATCTAAAATGATTTAAAACTCTGTCTCCATTATCTTCTCTAGACCTTCAAGTGCACTCTTAAAATATAGTTTCTCTTATTTGAGGCAAGAGCCACCACACAGTTGTCCCTTTAAACTTACATTTTTCCTCCCTTCAACAGTCATTTGCCAGCAATCAAAATACTGATAATGGCTTTACCGTTTCTGCACTGCAGTCTTTGATTCACAGTCTACTCCTTTTCTTGTAAATGTCTGCTGTCTGTAGCAGGCTATCAGCTGTTCAGAGCCAATATCCATTCATTCTGCCACATGCCAGCATGCATTTGCCAATATTATGTCAAGAATTTGTAACATTGCCATCTCAAGGTAGGCAGTGCTCACATGTAGTACAAAGCATTAGTTTCTCTTTCCTCTGCTCAAGCTATATGCACACTATATGTTAAAATAGCCTGACTCATGCTGCAGTATCTCTCCCAGGCCATGGTGTAGGGTTCTGAGCCTATTAGAAGTGGTTTATTTCTCATCTCATTATTCCCTGTCTAAAAATCATTCTCTCGACTCTGACATTGAATGCTTACAGTTATTTGGCTGACTTGAGAATGCTTTATTTGTACTGAATTACGTAGATGCTGCTTCAGGTAGAAAAAGTAGAAAAAAAGAACTTGTAAGCGTAGTTGTATAGCAGTGGCATAAAATCAACAAGTACATAGCAATCTGTTTCCCAATCAATAAAGTATTAATCTTCTGCTATATGTGGTATTCATTATTATTTTTTTTTCAGTTTCATCTTTCCTGACTGCTTTTATTGGAGTGTGGAATTGGTTTAGTTTCTATCTATCTTTTCACTTAAATGTAGCTGCTTCCTTCTGTGTTTCTACTCTGCACATGGCTGATACGCTTTCCTGGTAATACTTGGATTCCCATAAATAGAAATAGGTTTCACTGCCTTAAATAAATAAATATAAAGGAGGAGTGGAGAGGGACAGAGAGAGAACCACATGCACACATATATTTATAGAGGTCCACAGTTATTTACAATGCTCTAAAAATGTGCACGGAACTATTAGAAATTAGCCCATTAATAAATGTTAATGGCCTTAAATTTTTAAATGAAAATGATTAATCACCAAATGCAGTCGTGTCTGTGGGACTTACCTTTTATTTTTGTTGTGTGAAATAACATTCAACAAATAGCAAGAATGTGGTTCAGGCCCTTTATTCAGCCTTGCCTAAGTAACGTTCTAGTTTAATTACAGAGTGACACAAGAATTATCAGGCAGAGCCTTAAGGCACAGTGTATCACAGATCAGACAAAGTGATCATGATAATCCCAATCTTCTATCCCTAACATTTAGGAAAATGAAATTCTGCTCTGACTCACCAACTAATTATATTTTTAGAAATACCAGATGAATTATTTATTTCTCCTGCAATAAATACACCACAGTCAATTCTGAAACTGAGCATTTTCACTTCAGAGTAGTAATAAGAAATTAATGTGATTACTATAAATAGTTGGAATAAAAGTTACATTAGATTGATATTTCCTTGTCACTCTGCCGCCACTTACTGAGGTCTGAACATAAATGCAGTAATATTCTGCACAATCTGGGTAACCTGTGCTCATGATAAATGAAATCCAATTTGAATAAAGGCCAGAAAAGGCTACAAGAATAAACTGCATGTATCTATGCAGATAATGGAGGAGATAAGACAGCGGCTCAAAGACAAGAGACTACACTGATTCATGAACATAATAAAGCAAATTTTTCATGACCAGAAAGTGGGAATTAAAAGGCTGATGCTTTGTAATGGCAAGTCTTCCAGGACATCCAGGAACCAAAGTGGGGAAAAGTTATGCTTTTATCAGTATTTTAAAGATACCAAAGCACTGGCAACCAGATGGTCAGCTCCATTAATTGTTGCTAACATTTGATTTACTGCAGCAATAGTGGAAAAACTGGAAAAGTCTACAGATCATGGAAGGAGAGCTGGCCACCTGGGAGGAATATAAGACTTGTCAGAGGATGAAGGGAGGCAACTAGGAAAGCTAAAGCCTCCTTAGAGTTTAACCTGGCAAGAGCAGGCAAGGACAACAGGAAGGGCGTCTTCAAATACACTGCAGACAAAACTAACACTAGGGGCAATGTAGGCCCACTGATGAATGAGATGGCTGCCCGGGTAACAGAAGATACGGAGAAAACGGAGTTACTAAATGCCTTCTTTTCTCTGTCAATAGTGCGGGAGGCTGTCCTGAGGAGCCTAGATCTACATTGCTCAGAGATGAGCAGTTATACCAGTGCCTGGAATGATAGCTTATCAGAATCTTGAAGTAGTAGGGGCACTGACTTTGACGGTCCCCCTCAACCCCCCTCCAACTGCTCTCTTGCTTACCCTCCTCACAGTGGTGGGGTGAATGATATGATGAAACAACTCAGCTAAGGACGGGGAGGTCACACACCAGGTACAACACTGCACAAAGCAGTTTCAGTTTGAAGAGGATTCATTTAATTACCCATTAAAAAGGAACTGGGATAGTGAGAACTAAAAGCAAACTCAAACCACTTTCCCATTCTAACTTGTGCCTAACTCAGGTGTTTGAAGTAAGGGTGGCAGCAGCACATCTCAGGGATGGTCCCCAAGCTGGTACATGTGTTCACTTGTTGTTAAAGTTCCAATTGTATGTATTTTTTGATTATACACAAGTTATGTCCATAAATCTCCCCACCCCGATGCTGGGGGCTACTGCCAGCCTACTTCCATACGGGCTGGGGGGTTGTGACATCACAGAGTTATCCCCACCCGACAGACTATGATCTCATGGCTCTGCCCATGTAAGCCAGCGCCAGCACTTTGTTTCTCCCAGTGCGGTCGTGACCAGCTTAGAGCGATGGTTGTCGACAGCTTTCTCCTCATCCCCAGCCTCCTGATCCTGGTGGCTGGGGTGTCTCTGCTCACCATTTCCTGGCACCGACAGGTAGGGAAATTTGAGGGTGGGAGTCACTTGAGCTAGGTGACTCAGGGCTTTGGGTGGGGGGGGTGAGGGCTGCCCCGCAAGTCCTCATGAACTGTGCCACATTCATGTGCCCGTAGGGTTCTGACCGGCGCCAGCAATGGTGGACATGGTGGCTGCAAGTGGTGGCATCAAAGTCAGGTGAGTTCCCTGAGGGTCAGCCTGGCACATTCCCAGGCAGGGCCAGCCCCCCGGGAGAAGCCACGCTTTATACCAGTCTCTGTTGTGTAGCAGCCAGGCCGGGTGGGCCTGGAAGATCCCCAGTGTCCCCTGCCCTACTGTGGCTCAGACCTGCTCCCTGTTTTACAGGTGCTGAGAGACAGGCAGGCAGGCACAGGAGCCCCCGGTGCAGGCCACGTTGCTCCCAGCAGCAAGCATCAGGATGGAAGGGCAATCCCATCCTGCCTCATCTCATCCAGCCAGGAAAGACCCGGCCTTTGTTGCTGCGCAGTGCATGCCCCTCTCTTCACATGGACTCTGCCACTGGTACAATGAGCTCTGTGGGGAAACCCGGCAGGCTCCCCAGACAGGACTAGCGCCCGCAGGTTCTGGTGGCATGTGGGATCCCCAGGATGCTCAGTCAGCGTCCTAGGCTAGGCGGTGGAGTTGAAGACCTGCCACCTGAGATCTCCAACTTCACAAAGCCACCAGTGAAAGGGATGGTCTTCCAGGAGGGCCTCGTTCAAACAGAGGAGAGAAAATGCTGGTGGGACTACAAGACCAAGAGGCTTTTTTGGCGTACGCGCTCCCCAGCACTTCCCAAAGTGCACAGGAAAGCAGGAGCAGCTGCAAGACCATCCCGAGGACCAGCTTTGAGCCTGGGTAGAAAAGCAGACGGCAAAGCTGAAGCCCGCCAGCCCTTCAACTCTGGCTTCAGTGAGGAGCACAGAGAAATCGGAAATGCTCACTATGTGAAGTCTGTACTGGCAGCTCCTGGTGTCCCTAAAATGGCCCAAGACTAAGAACGATTGCTACAAGTCCGGTGGCGGAACTGAAGAGCAACCGCCTGTAACCTCTTCCTGCACGCTGCCACCATGAAAGGGACAATCATGCACAAGAACATCCTTCAAACAGAGGAGGAGAAATGCTGGTGGAAGAGCAAGGCCAAGAGGCCTTCTGAGTATTGTATTGCCTCCCCAGCACTTCCCAGAGTTTAGATGGAAGCCTGAGCAGCTGCAGGACCAACAGCAGGGCCAGCTTCAGGCCTGGAGAAAAGGAGACCACAGAACTGAAACCTGCCAGTGCCTAAACTCTGCCTTCATTATGGTTTTATTATTGTTGACATATTAATAGAGAACTAAGATCATTATTTGCATCATACCATTTCAGATTGAGATCTTTCAGATTTAGATAATTTAATAAAAGTCACACTAGCCTTCAGAGAATTGTTATCCTCATTTCTTGACTTTTAGCAATAAGAGCAAGCTCTCTCTGCAAAGAACAGTTTCAGAGCATCTAGGACTGCACTGGGGAAGGGATCTGAAGCAAAAAGGGCTTCCAGGAGGGCCTCGTTCAAACAGAGGAAACGCTGGTGGGACTACGAGACCAAGAAGCT